GCACATTATCCGCTACACCAAATAAGTCCACAGGTTTCTGTAATGGTAAATGAAATTGTTACATTGTTATTAAGATTGTTACATCTTAATAAGGGTCATTAGAGAACCACAAAACAAAAGTAGCAGCGTAGATTCTTCCTCTCTGATATCCCAAATAAATATAGACTATCTTTAGGAGCGCAGGACCTTTAATTTTTTTAATTAGAATATTGTATTTGTTGTATAAGTTTTATGTCCAACAATACTGAGTAGAAAAACCAACATTTATAATGACTGCAAGGGGCAAATTCCTAAGAGGATGCAGTATATCAACAAAAGTATTTGGTGTTCCAATTAGTAAACATAATATTGGCAACGTTGATAATCTGTAATAGGGCATTTATATGGACAAAATATGCAACCACTGCTAGGCCTCTCATTCAATTACCTTAGACATAGCACATATTCAACATAAATACCTATGGCAAGTGAGAGACATTCCCCATTATAAATTATACCTATCAAGAATAAAAATTCTATTTATTTGAAATTACTAGAAAACACCTGACCAATTCATGTGTATGAACCTATGTGAGATGAAATTGAAAGACTGAAATGTCAAAAAAAAGCATATTAGATAAGAATTTGCTATGCAGGATCAGTTGAAAGTCCTCTTGGATCTAGCTAAACATGTCAACATGATCAATAGTAATAAAATGGTAGAATTTGTCCATTTTTCTCTAAAATGCACATGGCATCATGCAAACATAGAGTGGTTAGTTTAAAGTTCAGTGTGTTTTGAAAACCTAGCCACCTGGATTAATTCAGGAAACCATGGATTAGTATATGGTGTAAAAAAGCCAGTAAAGTCTCTTCTAACTTAAGACTTTACATTTTTTTAAAAATACAAGGAAAATTCCTGGATTATCTAAACTTAACTACTTGCATCTTAACTTACATCTTAGTCACACATGCCACATCAGAGCTTATGTCACCGATCAACTGGAGAGAGGATACTAACCTAACACTTACTGTACAACAAAAACAATAACATGACTAGTACACACTTGGTCCCTGCTGATCCGGAAAGGATAACCTAACATAGTAATCAAACCATATAATTAATTTTTTAGACTTGAAAATTCTCAAATCCAACTTACAATTAGTTTCTGTTCTACAAATTATGCATGCATGGATTACGTACAGAAGTAACTGGGATGAAATAAGTTCTCTGCTTGTTTGAGGGAGATCATACTACTGTAGTAGAGATAGACATGGAAATCTACAAGCAGTATTTTGCAAAAGATTTCAGGTATTACATATTTTTATTCATTGCACTGCTTTTTATAGTATCCAATTCTGTTTTTCCTTTTAAATTTTCTAAGTTAGTCACAAATGGAAAACACATATTACCTTTAACAGGCTCACATGGAAAATCACATTCTTCTACCCACCCTCATTCTTGCCAGCATTCCTCCAAGAAAATTATTATTATAGGTTTAATGCAATGAAAACACAACAGTCTGTCAGTGTGTATTGAACAGATGCATATTGAACAGATGTGTATTGAATTCAATGACGGGAAAAGAAATTACTTAAGCACAATGGATTTCAGTATAAATTTTATCTAATTTCAATATTCAAGATAAGTAAATCTCTTTAAGAGCCAAACATAGTTGTTTCTTACCATGACCCATATGTGAAAAGATATACTCAAAGCAAGGTATGCTGCTGACAGGATAATAGTTCCTTTAAATTTGTGAAACAGAAGATTAACCAGGCCGGCTTGAAAAACAAAGGTGTTGAAGAACATGAGGAAGATGATGATGACATTGAAGAGGATGGTAATATCTTGAATGCTGTAGGGAAAAAGACCTTTTTTTTAATGAAGCAGAGATTGACGTAGCCCCATACATCCTACAAAAATAGGGTTGCTTTTTACAAGCAGAGAACACAGCAGCAGGAGTGCTGAAATCTCTTTTGCCTATCTTTCCACTGGGATATTACTGTTTCATTAATAACAAGAAAAGGAGATCCCAAAGCTCTTGTTTAAAAGACTGTCATGGAAATAAGAGACACATTGAGCTCCCTGTTTGCCATCAGTTCCATTTTTCTCTGCTATTCCCTAAGCACAATGATTTGAATAATACATCATATACATAGCAATGTTTTAGTACATTGTTCAAAACAGCACAGGTTACCAGTAATATATACAATTCAATGTTAGATTTTAAAAATATTTTTATTTTATTTTATTTTATTACTTCACATCAATCAACTATTGTCTGGCTTTCTCTATGTTTTCCTGAATGAAAGTAAGCCAGGAAGAGCAGAAACTAAAAATACAATTCTATGAATGTTTACCCCAAAGTACATTATAATATACCCAGTAGACATTACTCTTTGATAAGTGGTTTGTGGGAGGGGCTCTGAGTTAAGTCTTGATTTCTGGCAAATGAACAACTGGACAAGTTGTTGCAGTTTTCTGTGCAATATTTTTAAAGTTGACTTGCCTTCTTCCTAGGGCTAACAGAAAGTCAGCAGCTCCAAATCGGTACTTGACTGCGTGCTTAAGATGGGACTAGAACTCAATCATCTAGTTTCCAGCCTGGTGGCCTTTAGCCACTACACCAAAGTGTTTTGTTTCTTAGCCTAAAACTGCAGTCCTATGCATATGGGATCAAACGGCTTGCTTTTATGGCTTTTTAAAAAAAATTATTATAAACCATCTAGAGTCACATTTGTGAGATGGGTGGCCATATATAAATATGATTAATTAAAAAGTCTGGTACAGACTGAAACATTTCTCTGTGAATATCTCTATGAATATTCATTTCTGTATGAATATCTTATTAAAATATCTACAGTTCCCTTCATGGACCATTTTGATCTTGAAAACAGTTTTAAAAACTACAGAACCCTCAGGCACTGCTTTCACTTTGTTTCTGTTATGACAAAACAAGTAAAGAAAAGAAAACGTACTAAGAAGCATATGCAAGTCTTTACTACTCACATGAAAAGCACAAGCTGGATGACAGGAGCCATGCGAAGCAATTCTGAGAAGGAGTTGACAAAGAGATCATAGGACAAGAGGAGGAATTGCAAAGACAGCACCAGGCTGTAATTGCTAGTCTGGAGCATCTTTCTTCCCTAAGATTCTGGGATCTCAGCATCTGCATTCCAGGCAGCAGAACCAGCTTATACTCATGTTAGGAAAGAGGCACGCTTCCTCCAGATAGATTTGCTGGGATGGAAAAGTAAAGGGAAAAACAAGTAACAATGAAAGATAGAGACACACATCTTATTAATTGCTGCTAGATGCATACAGTTTAGGTCAAATCCTAATACTGAAAAATAATCAAGCACTATTCCTTGAAGAAGGGCAAAACAGGACTTCTTGCTAAATTAAAGAAAACCTTTTTTTTTTTTTTTTTTTGGTGCCTTCGAGTCATTGTTGACTTTCGGTCACTGCCTGGACTAATCCCTGCAGGGTTTTGGGGCAAAGTTTTTCCGAGGTTGGTCGCCCTTGCCTGCTTTTAGGGCTGAGAGGGACTGACCTAACGTAGCCCTACTAAGCGTGCACTAAAACTCAGGGTCTCCCGGTTTCTAGGCTGGTATCTTAATAGCTACAGTAAACTGGCTCTTCATTACTGATTTTTTTTATTGCCAACATAATGTTTATACTTGGTACGGAACAGAATACTGCATTGTTTTTGATATCGAAAACACGGCCTATAAGTCAACCCGCATTTCTAGACCTGGGACAGGAGACCACGGGGGCTGGGTGTGGGGGGGGGGAGAGGCTGCTGACTATCTCCTCCGCTTACGAGTGAAAGGGGGAAACGCCCACTTCTAAGATACAGGACTTCACTAAGTGCAGGACTTACCCGTGTTACCCAAGTCCCCTTCAACCGGAGGCTACGCGATCTCTCATAGGAGTCGAGCGCGCTCCCTTCTCGGGGATCGAATACAGCCCCGCGTTGTGTAAGACACGAGAAACCGGAGGAAGTGAAGCCGCTGCGCCGGGGCAGCCCCCGACGAAGAGCAAACGGTGCAGGACAGTTACTTTGCGCCGCCACAATCGGTCCCCATGGCGATAGAGCAGCGGCGCGGAGGAGGCGCCGGAGCCAGCACGCCCGGAAGTGCAGCCGGGGCCGCAGAGATCATGGATGCCTAGAGGCCGAGGAGTAACTTGAGGATTGGTTGGGCGATTCCTGACCGCACCATCGCCTCGATCCTCAAGCGGCCTAAGGAGGAGATGTTACTGGTGTTACGGAGTGGCATGAGCTCCCCCCCCCCGCTCTTTCTCCATCGTTAAGCAAAACGATGGGCTCTATGGAATAGGAATGTCATTTAGCGTTCCCACTGAATTTTAGCTCGGTTTATGTGCCAGTTTTATACATGCCTACTGGGTGGAAAGGCTATTGAAATCAGTGAAACATGCTTGGAAAAAAATTACAGGATTGTAGTTTAAATAAAACAACAAAAAAGGAAACTTAAAAAAAAAACATTAAAGCCTCTTCCAGCACTCTAAAGGTGGCTGTGACAAACCACTTTCATATTTATAAACTATTATTACAAATCACCATTTTACAAATTATGGTGTCTGGGTTCAACATCTTTTCCGACTAACGAATTTTATTAAAAGATTTGTGAAGCGCAGCTCACTTTATCGGATCAACATAGCCAAAGAAACTAGCCACGTTATGTCTTCTGTAATGTGGAAGCTCAGCTTCTGGACGTACACGCTTAATGAATGAGGCAGCTAATAATTCATTCTAGGGACTGTAAACTTTCAATTAGTGTATGAGAAACATTTCCATCGATTTATCTCCTTGTCTGCATAAACGTGGTGCATGGCAGGCAATTGAAAAATTACAGGAATCGGCACGAAGCTTACGGCGGGATAATTTTTAAATCTTCCAGAAAAAGATGATTTGCTCCAAACCGCACGTGTGGCTAAGAAAACTACATTTCCCAGACATCCAGAGAAGTCGGAACTCTTCATTGGGCGGGGTTTCCACTGTGAGAGCGAACAGAGGGGCTTAAGTTCTTCGTCTGCAATGAGCGGCGAAGACCATATTGAAGGGTCTGTTGAGGACTGGAACTACTTTTCCCGACTCTCTCTGCGACTTAGGCGGAAGCGAGGTATGAGAATGGTATGCATTTTCGTTGTAATTGGACTGAAGAAGGGAATGATGATATTCTTTAATATCGGCAATCGTTGTGACTGTAAGTCACCTACACGCTCATTCTTGTAAAGGAGCATAGCATGTTCTCCCCCTAATATTTTGCTCAAGAAGATTTTGCTTCTGCTTTTTCTTTTTTCGCCAGTATCTGCCTTCCTGTAGTTTTGATTGGCGAATCGACAAAGTTCCTTTATTTTCCCCAGGAGAGTGCCGCACACTTGTTAGTTCATGGAGCTGGTGTCCGCGCTTTGCATCATTAGAAACCATTAATACAATTGGTAATCTATGTTCTTGTGTGGGTAATTATTCTGTCTTTTGCCAACACAGTTAATGTTCTTTAGACCAGTTAATCTCAAAAATGGCTATGCATTTTTCTCAAAATGTAACACGGCGATGCACTTTATTGTTTATTCGGTAAGATTGGTGTTAGTCCCTCAAGCAATATAGAGCAGGAGCAACCTAAAGTTTGTAGCTCTTTAATAAAGCCCAGCTTTGAAATTGTACCCTTTAGTGTTACTTGTTTTGATATTGGTCAAAGAACAACAACAAAAAGAAACACAATAGCTAAACTATTTACTCCTGGTAATTTTGTTGTTGCAAACAGCATTCTTTTTGTTTATCTGGACAGATTTATGATACAAAACACTTAGATTTCTTCACACTTGTACAGTCCATTTCAGCTTTTCTTTCCACATCTACTTCCAACTATAGTGCTTTTATGAGTTTGTATACCTATGTGGATAATTAAAAATAACATTTGTTTTACGGACAGTTACATATTCCTGGTTGAGAGCAGAAGTTACTACATTCAGAAGAATTGGATTTTGGCAATGGCCAAAACTATATTTCTGGTAGACACCTGCAATAGATGCACCATATTTTCCTTTTTCTCAGAAGCCAAAATGGTTTTCATTTATGAAAAGTATCTTTCTGTAGAACTTCTGAAAGTGAAGTTTATATACCTGTATAGCAGGCCAGAATACTATGCCTACACCACATTGGTCCCAAATGAGGACTTATTGAATAGCAGTGTCAATGCTGCAAGTAGGAGAGCAATATGTAATTTACACAAATGGTGGAAATAAAAACAGCTAACAATAACTACCAGAACAAACAACTACAAAGCTCTTTTCATTCTCTAAACTTTGGCACCGAATCTCAACCTCTAACCTTCAAAGAAATTCCTACATGCGTAAGTCAGCTACGAAAAACCTGCACAGCAGAAACTCTGTCACTGGATCTAAGTGACAGCAATCTATCATAAGTTATGGAGAAGAAAAGAAAGACTGTAATTGAAGCTGTTACTTTCTGAGGCATTGAAGCTTCCATTTATCATCTAAATCTTTCATCTTGACATGTATAATGTCTTCTGGGTGTCCAAATATGAAATGTGATGGAAAGACTGATGGGGTTCATATAACCTGCTGATCACAGATCCCTTGGGGGTACAAATTATGCTGTAAGGCAATATCTCCAGCATATTGAGAGTGACTTCATAATTTTGGATGAAGTATATAGGGTCTTGGTTTTCAGGTGATGGTATCATCAAAAATTATTTTTGAAAGCAAAAGTCCAGGAAGGGGGGGGGGAGAATTCTTGGTAATAACATTGATGCAAGCAATATAGGTTTGAAATGAATGTACTGTTGTCTAGAGATAGAATTCATCTGGTTAAAGTGAGAAACTACATTTTTGAATGATGGAGAGCTAACCTGGCTAGGAGGCTTTTAAACTAGAGTGAGTGGAAATCGTAAGACCACTGATGAGTAAAGAATTGCCATGTAAACAGACTGAATACTTTACAGCAGCAAAGTGAAATAATTTGGGAATTTCCAGTTTAAAAAAGCAAGGTAGACATAAAGGAAAAAGAAACTGAACACAAGGAAGCTATCTCATTATCTGAAATGCCCCTAAACCAGTCCTGCAGAACTCTTGGAAGCCAAAGTGGCAGATTAATTACCTTTAAAGTAATTGCAGGCCAGAAAGGAACAGTTGGCAGCACAGTGGCAGTGATGCAACTAGCAATGTCTGTAAGGCCTGAAGGCACTTTGCAGTGTGTCTTTTGGGCTGGAAGTGATTGCAGAAACCTTGGTGGAAGCTTTGGCAGCAGTGGATTGGCTCTTTCCCATAAACATTGGCACAAAGCAGCTTGATAGGCTGCAAATTGTGCAGGTCTGCTCCATGCTAATGGCAAAGCATGGGTAAAAAGCAGATGATCTGGATCATGAGGCAGAAAGACAAGTATAGTATAATAGGGATTACAGAAACGATGGAATGAATCCCATCAGTGGAACACTGATCTTGATAAGTATATCTTGTTTTAGAGCAGTGTTTCTCAACCTTGACAATTTTAAGGCATGTGGACTTCAACTCCCAGAATTCCACAGCCAGCATTGCTGGCTGTGGAATTCTGGGAGTTGAAGTCCACATGCCTTAAAATTGTCAAGGTTGAGAAACACTGTTTTAGAGGAACAGGCAGTCCAGGAATGGACATGGTATAGCATTATATAGTTAATAATTAATTTAATTGGCTGTAAATTAACTTTCCATAGGTCAATTGGATGGTTAATAGCCTGAGCATTGACAGTATCTGGAAAGCTAACAAAGGATAGCTTACATATATGCTGCAAACCAGTCAGAAGAAATCTTGCCCGTGAAATCAGATTAGCCTTGACCCTGCTGGTTTCCCACAAGGCCTTAAAGACATGTTTGTGACACTGAGCTTGGGGTTCTGGACATATGGCAAAGCCTGTGCAATGATTGTGATTATTTGTTTGCTGGTTGTTGTTTTTTTTTAACCATGGCTGTATGCATTATGTGTGTATTAGCTTTGTTGAGATGGGTGGCCATATAAATTGAAATAAAGATTTAATGAAGCAAATGACCCAAACCTTAGAAAAAAACATGAAAGGGTTTCAGGAAAGGAGGTTTCAGCTCCCCAAACATCTATTGGAAGTCTGTCAAAAGAAGAGAAGATGGGAGGAATATAAAAAAATGTTCAGGTATTGTCAGTCTTACAAGGTAGACCAGGCTGAGAAACCGATGCCATATAAGTCATGACTACTTTTATTGTAACAGAATCTTGCTAGTCTGAATTTACTTCCCCTCTTCCTCACTTTATCTTTGGATGAACTAGGGAGGCTCCTGTCTGAGATGTTTATTTACATTATTTTCTTGGTCCAAGCTCAATCCCCTCTAATTTGACCATTGCCTTGGTAGCCCTCTCCTTTCTCTTTTTCAAGACCATTCTCTATGCCCTCCACAGGTATATAAAAATATTTTATTCGGAATATGGTTGATAAGTCTTCTATTGCCAAGAAACTAGAACCAGAAGTAATGAATTGAGTTGCAGCTACTTATATTTTTGTTAAAAAAAAACGGAAAACATTCTTGACAGTAAATCTATACGGCACTGAAACAATCTACATATAATGGTTTCAGATTCTCAACTCTGGAGGGTTTTTCCCCCCCAAAAAAAGCTAGACAGCCACCTCTCACAGTTGGTTGTGTTTTTGCATATTGCAGAGGGCTGGACTACAGAATTATTGTGGTTCCTTCCAATTCAATTAATCTATAATTCTATCAAGAGAATAGAGGCAGTAAATATAAATTAGAATGTGTGTAGGAGCTGAGCCAGATTAATTTGGCTGCACTAGAATTTGCTACCTAAATTCATCGTCATACAAGGCACATATAAATAGCTTTTATTCTGATTAAGGTTTTCAGTGTTACATTTGGTTGGGTGAATGCATATGTATACAGATATCGCAAACATTATAAATACAAATCTCAGTGTAACTCTCCATTTTTAGAAAAAGTATTGAAAAGTTGCCTGGCAATTTGGAGAAAGTACTATGTTTAAAGAAAATATTCAAAAAGAGCAAGCACATCCATTTCCTTTCTCCATCTATTAAGGCACTTATTAGTTGTGAAGAGTGAAGTTTCAGTCATCACCATGAACTATTAATAGACATTTTGTGCTATTTATTCAGCCTCACTTCTGCTTGAAAAGCAGAAGTGAACTCATAAGTGTTGCCTTTCTCATAAGTGTTGCCTTTCTCAAGAAGCAGTGGTTGCAGGTGCAATATCTATAGAGGGCTTTTGGGGACTTCTCTTTTGGGAAGCTTGATCTTTGAATCTTGCCTATTTAATTTTAAAAATGTGATAACTTTTCCTTATTGAAGTAGCTTGATTGTAATCACTTTTATTTTTGCCTGCAACATCATTAGATAAGCTGGATATGATAAAATTAATCTTATCTCCCTTTAGAATGCTGATCTCACTTATGCACATGCTTGCTTTGGCTCCTAGAAAAACCTTGGAAGTATGGATAGAATAGGGTTTTTTTATTGGACTGAACCGAACCATCCAACGTAATGATCAAATTGATACAATAAACTCATTAGTTCCCCTAGAAACTATATTTAGTGATATGAGTACATAGCATTTCTGGCTTTAAAAAGACGATAATCTTATCAATTAAACTGATGGTAATGATTGAGCTTTGTACATATTGCCACCCAGATAGAATATAATCAGCTTGAATCAGTCCAAAGACATTGTAGAGCCTTTGTTTTCTGAACGATTAATTTTAACAAGTAAACACATTAATATATTTTCTCTAGCCCTTTCTCTCTAGCTCCTCCTCCTTGGGTGAAAATGATAAAAATAGTAAAATTGAAGTGCATGTCCCATACAGCGGAAAGCAGTGCCATTTGAAGTTGGGTGAAGGCAATATTGGGCAGGAAGAATAGAAAGCCAACAGAGGAGATTTAGAATTTAACTTCTTATCAATAACCTGAACTGTTTGTTCAGTTCCTTTCTTTTATTTTCTCAGGCGTGCTTCCAAGTAGCACTGAGATGCCTAAAGTTCCATTTCTCCCGTATTCAATCCTTGTGGGAAATCTGGCTATCTTGTGTTTGGGGCTTACAATATACTGGAGTCAGCACTGGCTCGGCGGCTTTGCCTGGGATGGTTCTAGCAAGATGTTTAGTTGGCACCCGGTTCTCATGGTGACAGGCATGGTGATCTTATATGGTGCAGGTAAGCGGGGGAAAAAATTCAATTTCTCTGTCCTTTTCCTCTCTTTTTGCTGTGTAAGTGGAGATAGTGAGAAGTGCTTCATCTGGCTCTGATGGTTTCCCCCTTTCCCCCCTGTAGCAGCACTGGTGTACCGTTTGCCCTTTTCTCAAGTGGGTTCCAAGCTCCCTTGGAAGGTGCTGCATGCAACACTTGCTCTGATAGCATTTATCTTTGCCATTCTGGGATTGGAAGCTGTCTTCAGGTTTCACAATGTGCAGAAAATCCCCAACATGTACTCTCTACACAGCTGGCTTGGGCTCTCTGCTGTGCTACTTTTTTCATGCCAGGTAGGTAAGAGCATATCAATGGATTGATTTATGTCAAAAGTATATATCCCACTAGTTTCCCAGAGAAGAGATGAAAGGCTGGAAACAAACAAGATCAGCAATATTTACAATAACTCCCAACCTTTTATTTTTACTATAACCTGCCTCCAGTACTGTAGTTGATTTTAAGAAAGGATTAAGAAATCCTGCCTGAAACTCTGGAGACTCATTGCTAGTCAATGTAGATAGTGGTGGGTGAGAAATATCAATGTTCTGGTTTAGTATAAGACAGCTTCTAGGACTCTGAGGGATAGTCAGTTAGGCAGAGATGTGAATAGCTTATCTTTTAATATATAATCAAATACTGCTAAGCTTTTTCTGAAGAAAGATTTGAGAGCATTTTTACATATCCTGTGTGTCTTCAGTTTCTTGTCACCAGAAATTAATTCTATAAACAGATTACTTTTTTCCTACCGGGCAAGTGGCTTTTTTTAATCTTTTGAGATTAAACCAAAGAATTATGCATATTAATCATATATTCCCTAAAGAAAGATGCATTGTGTTGCCCACCTAAACATATTACATTGTGAGAGATGGAATCAAATACAATAATCATATTTTTACAAATGTGCCCCTATGTGCTTGAAGATCTAAAATTATTTTTAAAGAAATGAAGGGGGAAAAAGAACTTCTGCTGGCTAAGTTACCACACTGGCATTGCTAATCAAGTACAAATAATTTGTATAGGTTCAGGTACAATAATGTAAGACTTCTAATTTATGTCTCTCCCTTCCAGTGGTTAATGGGGCTTGCTTCTTTTTTGTTGCCTTGGACGCCCATCTGGTTCCGAGCCCTCTACAAACCTGTCCATGTTTTCTTTGGTTCTATCATCCTTGGTTTGGCTATTGCATCCTGCATCTCAGGCATTAATGAAAAGTTATTCATGAGATTGTGAGTAATGGAATTTGGTTATGGGTTGATCAGAACATAGTGCAATGGGTATTTGTATTTTGATTCTGAGGTAACAATTTCTGTAAAAAGTTAATGATTTGGCTTATCAATTTCAATCTAGAAAAAAAAGGAAACAAAACTCAAGCTGATCTGGACTGAAATTATGTATTTTGACAGTAACAAAAAATGCTTCTAAATATGAAGGGGAGTGTTCCTAAGGATTTATCAGGCACCCAGAATCTAGCTACAGGGATGCCCTTAGGAATGAGTTCCCTGTGGCAAGTATTTTTCTTGAAATGTCTACATCAGTTTCTTCCAATTTTGTGCCTTCCATATTTAGAAATTGCAGAAAGGGAGGTTTAACACCTCTTGGCGACCCTGGGATCTGGAAAGCTGGTATGGAAATATTTCCAGCTTTTGTATATTTAGTTTTTCCAGCATAGCAAGTAAAGATGTGAAACTGATGTGTGGAGATCTGTTGGAAATGAATACCATAAGCATGCCTAGGTCTTATATTATGAAATCAGTAGTAAATATTTGGAAGCCTGCAATAGGAAAAAAAAAGCTGGTAGATAAAGCCCCAGATGACCACAGGAGATGAGCACAAAGTTTATTAACGCATTCCAAGCATTTCCTTCTTTTTGGATTTTTGCAGAAATATGTGAATTTAACCGGTTTTCACCAAACACTTTGTTTGACTATCTTCTTAGAAAAAATTCAACAATACCATATTCCAAGCTTCCTGCAGAGGCTTGGTTTGCCAACATTCTGGGAATGCTGATTTTGGTGTTTGGTTTGTTAGTGTTGATGGGTCTTGCAATACCAGGATGGAAACGTCCAGATGTGAATTCACAAGACATTCGAGAGGTGAGGAATTCTGATACGATGAATTAGAGAAAATGAATATGATGCTTTAATGCGTGTTGAAAAGTATTTGAATGCTACATACAAAGAACACACACACACACACACACACACAGACAACTTATACCAAAAGTCAGATGTGACTACATTCCAAAGAACTGGGGCAGACATAGAGAAAGCTTGACTCCAGGTCACCCATGTGACAAAGGTAGGCAAATCTCTCAGACAATCTCAATTGAATGGGGGTGGTGTTTGGAATCGAATAGAAAGAGGTGTTTTCTCAATCTGCTTCAACTTCTAAACCATATTGGGCTTTAAAGTTAATACTCCATACTTTCTATTTCACCCCCCCAAAAAAATACAAAACAGAATTGGGCAGGGACTGTAAACACTTCTGGAGAGAATTCCATAGACATAATATAAACCTGGTCAAGGGACAATTAAATATTTAATTGATCAATCCCTATCCTATGGATCACTAACATGTAAATGCTGCTCTGGTAAAAATTAGTTCTGGCAGTCTAAAGATTTTAAAGACAAATAGCTGCATAATTTTATTTTGCTTCTAATACATAAAATACTAAAATACTCTTTTTCCTACCATACACATTTAGCCACCATTCTGGCTAATTAGATATTATTGAGTCTAAATCTAAAACATTCAATTCTGAAACCTGGAATATTTAGTCCCCAAATCTGAATTTAAAATAATTAAACTGCTGAAACAAAACTTCTGCAATGTATGTAACTTTCAGATGAAATTTCAGTTTAAAATGGAGTAGGCCAATTAAACAGATTGTCATCTTGAAAATTGAAAAGTGAAGTAATATATGGTAAACAGCTACCTTTACCATTGAAATAAGAAATTTGTGACTCTAGATAGCAATTAAAGAACAGTTCGTACCGTTATTTTCCACTGTACATACTGGTTGAAGTTGTCAAAAATTGTAGCCTAGCAATACTTAACAATACCACTTAACAATCACTCATAGTTGAAGCCACTCATTTCTTAATACCTAGGCACAACTTTATTAACCTACGTTATACAGGCTGAGTCTCTTATTTTTCTGTAAAATGTGCTCTTAGAAATTAACATGTGAATACTAATCTTAAAGATAATTTAAGCTACCATAATATCCCCTTTTGCTATAGGAAAATCATGTTTTATTGAATCCAACTTCTGGTTTGCTTCCTCTACACAGCCTCTGTTACGAGAAGCCAGATGAAGAATTAAAGAGCAGCTGCGTGGTTTGCTTTCTCTAAGGGTTTTTTCATTGAAGTTTGCAGCCTTACTTGCTGCTGTCGTCATCAGTACAGGAGCTCACATCATGAACTAATTCAGTAAGAGAAGACTTTTCTGGTAACAGATATCCAAATTTGTTCCCCTCAGTCTGATTTTTAAACTTCAAATGTTTGTACTATCAAGGATTGCTGGACATCCAACCACATTTGAACAAATCTGTTTGCTAAAGTGCCATAAAGTTTTCAGATTTTTGTGCTTTTCTATAGCCAATTAAAATCCCAAATAATCAAAGAAAAGCTGCCTTTTTCTGATACTTGGGTGAAAGGATGTTCTACGGCAGCTATTTTGTGTGTAATTTCAGAGCTGTGTTATTTTTTATGGAATATGATCTAATTTTCTGTGTTTTTTTCATATGAATCTGTTCAGATTCCACATATTATAGAACATAGTTTGTTAGCTTTGATTTAACATGTTAGATGAAGCCAGTATAGAGGGCCTCAGCCTTCTCTTGATTGAAAGAGAAGTTTTCATTTTGTGCAGTAATATATCAGGTAGACAGCCAAATCTTTTGCCAATTCACCCACAGAAGTTGTGTTTATATAACATATCAAGCCATAATTCGTTTAATGGTGGTTTACCAAATAAACAAATGACTGGGTTCCCATAAAATCTTAACCCCTGGTTTACAAAATACATTGACTGGATTTATATGATTGGGCAAATAGGCAAACCAAATGTGGCAGTACCACAGTTCGTAAAGAGTTTGGACTTGGGACCACTTTACTTTGTTAAAATGACTGAAGACCCCAAAGAACTTGGGTTTATATGGATTATACCCATTAATAGTTACTGTGTTAGAAATTAAAACCGAGAAATTTTAAGATATTTTGACTTTGTGAATCCCTGATTACACTTAGAAAACTACTGGTGTAGTGTATTATGCAGCTACTTTGTTACCTTTTTATGGTTTCTATTTACTTGGAATGATAGGATATCAGTGGAGATATTTTTTCCAACTTTTTTCATTTGATTACTGTGAACACTTCTGATTTAAAGAAAACATTGAGATGTCATGGGCTGTAATTAGGTATTCACACATGGTAATTAAATATTTTTTTTTAAAAAAAGAATATTTGGAGTTTTTTCAAATGGTCAAAAACCTGAACTACCTATTTCCCACCCACAGAGTTCTTCTGTATCTATTTGTGTCAGTGAAACATAATCTTATTTTTGTGTTAACAGTACTGTGGTACTGAAATTCACATGCAGTTGATGACAAAACATAATCATTAGTTACCTTTAAAATGTCTCCTGTGTTTGCAACAAATTTATTCTCAGAACAATAGACTTTGTCCATTTGTGAGGGTGAAGAGTAGGCTAATACATATATTATAATAATGTCTGAAACATGTTACAATAATGTGACTCCATAGTTAAGTTTACTTTTTTCTGAGAGCTACAATCTAATCACCTTATTTTAAGCCATCTTTCATTAGAGTTTAAACATGAGACTTTGCATTGGATCACACGTCTAGTCTAATAAGATACATCACCTTATATGGCTAAGTCACGAGATTAGATCTTATTTAGAAAAAAAATTGATCCTTGATGCCTTTCTTATTTCTAATATATCTATCTTCTCTCTTGTTAATGTGAAAATTGAGCCGTTTTCTTATCTGTGCTAAATCGCTTAATAATGCTAATAAAAGATTATGCTGTTCTCCATAAACAACTATATAAAAATTCCTGTACTTAATCAAGCAATGTGAGCTGAACACACTCAAGGACTGGCCCTTGATATATTAATTAAATTAAAATATTTCTGTTGAGCTATTTATAGCATACAGTGTTATCAATTTCTGTTACTTGCAAGCTACATTTATTTAAAGAACCAAAACCCAAACCACTATACAAGTACCAGTAGTCCTCATTTAGCAACAATTGGGACTGGTAATTTAGTCATTAAACAAAGTGCTTGCTAAGTGTAACCATGTTTCTGCTTGTGATCTAACTTCAGCTTTCCTTTGCTTTACAGACCTGCAAAAGTTGTAAATGTGAGAACTGGTTATAAAGTTACTTTTTCATCACAGTTATAACTGCCAATGATTGCTAAACAGGACAGTCACCAAACAAGGACTACCTGTATCTATTATGTGCTAATTATATGCAATGCAACATTAACTCCTTCTCAGTATCATTATGTTAGCTCAAGGTTGGCAAAATAGCTGAAAAATGTTTTGAAACAAAGTTAGTTTAAAAGCTTTATTTGCAAATAACCAGACAATGAAAAAAAAAAGTCTTATGTATATTTATTCTTCTACATTCCTTTTGAACATTTTCCCTAACACCATTTGTTTTTTCCAATTTAAATACAGGTAATTTCACTTAATTATAACTGTGCACCTAGCTTTCATTCTGGTTATATCTAATGCGTTCTTGATCATATAATTACGGTAGCAAAATATTTTAAAATAGTGCCTGCAGTTACCTGGATGAAATAACTTTGGGTTTTTGTGGCAGATAATATGACAGAAGTTACCTTTATGTACATGGGTCCTTGGCTGCCAGAGAAATATACCTGATAATTTCTTTCAATCTAAACTGTAATGCATTCTTTGTATAGCTGCTCCTGAAAATAACACCCACCTACCTGCCACATAAAAGATCTAATGCGTTAACCAGCATGTTACCTGAGTAATAATATACTCTACAATTCTGAAAGAGTGTTTTTTACTTATTTCCAATTCCAGCTCAAAATGCTTAAGTCCCAGCCTTAAGAATGCTAAATTCTATAAAGACGAATTTTTTATCATCACCTGAAGCAAAATAGACAGCCTTGAAAAACTCATCTGTAAATAATCCCATTTATGAAGCTCCCAAAAGAGAGGTCTGGTTGCCAAGCTTCCTTTAAGCTTCCTTTAATGTTATTTAGGTACTAGCTAAACATTTCTAGCAGGGTACGTTTTAATTGGTTGTATAACAGCTGAAACATATTGCCCAGAGGTTAAGCAGTTCAAAAATCCTGATGTAGATTTATGATGCCTTGTACCCAAAGAGGATCCCTATAACTATGAGAATGCTGAGTTACTATCGAGGCTAAAAGGCAGATTATTTCAATTATGAATATATAGCAATATTCTTCTCAGCATCTACATATATACAAGCTAAGTTAGATTGATCTGTTCCATATTTATTTAAGCTATATTGCACGCAAAGAAATATGCGGTAGTTTAATAAGTGTGATGATTGCACTTATGAAATTGTGGGGCTCTCTGTGCTCCTCGGTCAGGGAATGGATTTAACCAGTCAATCTTGTTTCTCTCAGTGGCCAGTGAGATCTCTATGTGAAATCAACAGACAAGGAACAGAAATAGCATTCACTTTGCTCAACAACTCTTTAGATGTATACTGTGTTGATGTATTAAGTTCAGCAGCTCCAGATGGTTTTTTTTTTTAAAATATCTAGACTACAGTCATGGTCTATGAGTATTTTATAAAGATTCTGACATATTTATACACCTGGTATCTAGAGTTAGAAGATCTTTGCATATATTTTACTTAGCTGTTCAAGCTATGTTGCTACAATATTGTTTGAATGTACCACTACATAGCTTCAGCAAAACTTAAAACACCTCTTGTGTACAGCGAAGAAATGCAGTACATAAAAACATGAACAACTTGAAAAGAGGACTCCGTAACAGTCAAAATATAAAAAGCACGAAAAAAAACGTAGACCCCAGCCAAACATATAAACATAACTCCGTTCTCAAGCATGACGTTTCCAGAACAATACCAAATAATGTGCAAGAAAGCTTTGTAAGTTAAAATAAACCTTGTCATTCCAAAGGTACCAGGATTTAGTAAGACCTGCACAGCAGGGATAGAATAGTGATGGGACATTTAAACTAGTACTAAAATGTGATTTATATTAAGGAAGAATATCATGACGTTACTATGGTTTAGCCTGTAACCCTTCCAGCACTGCCCGGAGAATGGCTGCAGCTGCTACAGCACCAGGATCGGGCTGTACTAGGTGAGCTGAGCTGATATAACTGGCTCTGCCTGCAGCAGCTTCCATATTCTTCGTAGATTCAGCAGCAGCCTCTGCCTCCTATAAAAAAAAAAGCAACATAAACATGTATACTACAAACTTGTTCTTTATATAGCTATAACACTAAATACACAAAAGTTTCACATCTCAGTTTGTAAACATAGACATCATTTGGAGTCTAGATCTCTTTTTTTGTTGCTACAGCCTTTACCCTAATGCCGTTAATACTTACAGTTTTTGATTATCGATTTTAAGTGCTTGGGGATTTTAGCTGATTATCAAAGAGCAACTCTGGAGGAAGGAAGAATCTTTTAAAACAGTTCCTTTCAAGGAGCTGGCTGAAAAGAATGCCAATTCCTTGAAATCATGCTTTGTCCAACCTGGACCTTTCCCCTTTCCAGAAGGCTCCAAAGACTTAACCTCATGTCTGTTCCTATGCTTTGAAGAAGCACTTCTCCAATAAAGAAACAGAAAGGTAAACTGCGTGTTCTTCATCTTCGCTCTTACGAGGCAGAAGTGACTAACTTTGAATTGCATATATGCTAATAAACTCACGTTTACAGCCTTGGCCAGAACCTGCATCAGATCAGCCTTAGGTGTCTTCAAAGCTTTGAGTACTTTTGCAGCAGCCCAGAGTGAATCCAGCTAGGCAAGAGTTGAGGAATATTAGACAAACAATAGTGGCAAGATTTACTGTTCTTTACTGGACATGAACAGACCCTTTGAAGAAAATCTTCAGGATTTGCTATAATTGGTAAGAAAAATTCCAAACATTTTCAGTTGGAAGTGCTGGCTCTGACAGACAGGGAAAATGCTAACTGGAAGTGAAGGGGGAGAGAGGAAAAGCTGTATAAGTAGTCCTCAGGTTACAATGACAATCGGGACCACGAATGCCTTTGCTAAGCAATGTAGTTGTAAACCATAATATCATATGAGCATATCACTTGGTCATAACCCCAGGTCTGTGCAGGTCATAAAGCACAAAGCAGAGGAAGTCCCAGGCAAGGAGCATGGGAGGCCTTGGGAAGGTTGCACACATGTACAGGAAATGCTGTGGGCGGGAGAAAAAGCAGTAGTAGTGCCTTATGACCTTCCCTGCTAGTTTCCCCATTGACTTTGCTTGGTGGAAGCCAATAGGGAAGGTCACAAATGACTTGACCTGTCTTGGCAGCAGTGGGAGGAAGATGTTAAAGGTCAGTTGGGATGGCAAG